CTTTATATTCTGTTCACACCTTCCCTCTCTCCCCTTCAGCTGTAGTCTGGTCAAATCCACTGCACAAGTTCTATCACCTCCATTTTGTTTCTTGAGAAAAACAGAGTAGACAAGCCTCACGCCTGTCTCTTCAAGGCCGCTGTGGTCTTCAAAAGAAAATGTTGGCGGGTTCTGTTATTGTGCCTGTGTGTGTATTATTGTCTAAAGTACCACCACCCCTCCTCTTTTGGTCTCAGAGTACGCAAGTGGGCTGACAAATATAATTCTTTGTCGAGTGGACCAATCAATACTGGACTTGTGTTCTGGATGCCTCAAGATGTCAAATGGCTCTCAATTAAGAGCTGAACTGTGGAGGAATTCAACAGGCGCAGGCTGCTGGCAACATGGTGGTGACTCTTATTCAAGCCCAGCACAGACAAATGGCCACTGTGTTCGTACAGGCCTATAGGATTCACCTCTGCATCTGACTCAACCTCAATCTGCCTGTTCTACTGCAAAGTGTCACACAACACCAGGTGAAAATTAACCACATGCCTGCTTACCAACACCCCATGATCAGGTCCCAAACACTGAAAAGAGTAGGCCCATGTTTTTCTGCAGTTTTTGTGATTGTGTCATTCAAGCAAAGGCGTGAGCATGAGCCATGTTATATTTAGGGCAGGCACAATTACTGAATAATGTTTTAACCAATGGTTATGGATGAAGACGTCATGAAAATAAAATCATAACCATTAAAAATATATATATACTGTATATATTTATATTTTTTGATGTGTGGAAAGAACAGCTGACTGAAAACGGGAGAGAGGAATTTGTGCGGTTGTGTCCGTTTCTGCTGTATCATTGACTCTACAACTTGATTAAACTTTGTTGCTCCTTTCTGAAACAAGCAAGATGCTGTAGCAATCTAATCTTCGGTTGCCTAGGCAATGCCCCCCTCCCTGCAGCAGCACATGCAATCAGGAGCGGAGAAGAAAATGTGCGCCGTAATTTTCTTTTTGATATTACGGTGACCGCGGTCATTTGGCTGACCAATAACCGCCATCCAAAATTCCATGACATGACCGTCACATCCCTAGGTATATTGACCATCATACCAGTAATATTTCATAGCAAGGTATTAAAAATTCATGGGGTAATAAAGCTCAATAATTCAATAATGACTACTTTGTTTCAAACATCCACCATGGTAGTTGTCTGTTCCAAGTCTGTCTAGACAATCAGTCAAGTGCTATGGGGCTACTCCTCTGTTGGGGTGCAGCCGCCCACCCCTCCACTCACCCAGAGGGGCACTGGTCCACAGCTACAGCACCAACCTAATTACTGGGGAGAAACAGGGTGCCTGTAGTAAGTAGGTCATTCGCCACCAGGGGCATACAGATACCCACCCAGGCAGAGAATGTCCCAGACAATGGGATAAAAAAAACAGGGTGCCTGTAGTAACTAGGTCATTCGCCACCAGGGGCATACAGATACCCACCCAGGCAGAACATGTCCCAGACAATGGGATAAAAATAAAGTGGGTGCAGTGTGGGAGCGTCTCAATATGGAAGCGTTTATGAGCGGGTTGGCCTTTTACTACGGTATTCATTAAAATGCTGGCATCAAGAAACAAAGCAAAAATCAGCGTGTGGCTGTGTTGAGGGATGAGGCAGATGGAGACCATTCCTGTAAGCAGAGGTGAGCCTGGGAGCCATTTTGAGGAAGTGCTGTGTCATACCACCACGTCCATTTCCTGTGCTGCACACAGGAAGAATGACACACAACCAGGCAAATATGATGCAAGAGGCTGGCTGAGTAATTGTAGGTAATAATATATAGATATTTACAATGTAATAATAACAATAAATATAGTATAATTTCCATGACCAGTGTTGTCATTTGCATAGAGAGAGAGAGAGAGAGAGAGAGAGAGAGAGAGAGAGAGAGAGAGAGAAAGAGCACACACACACCGTAACCTCCATTGACCTCTACAAGCTGTCTTAACAGGAGAGAGAGAGAATGAAAACGTGCTGCCTCACACACCCACCCTCTCACTGGCACTTTCTACATTCCCAGGCATGTCTTGTATTGATTGTAGCTCAGTAGTTTTCCACTGGTGAGACCTGAGCCATGAGGGGCAGGCCCTGAGACTAGAGACTGAACACAGTTCAGTATTCACCATTCAACCTGCTCACTGACTGCCACGCCCCTTTGGAAAATAAACTGCATTAAGTCTCACGCAGCCCTACATCTAGAATATTATTTTCAGTAAATCAATGTATCAAACCTTATCTGTATTTATGAAACATGTAACGTGATTACATAAAAAAATTAACTTATGGTCAAAAGCATGTTTTTGGGAGAAACGCACAATGACATCCATGTCATAATTTACTGATGTCATCTTTAGGGCAGTGATAGCTATCTCTAACCCCAGCATCAAGAGAGGACTCTCAGTCAGCACATATCAAAAGAAAAAGTCAAGCCTAGTCGAGCCAGGAGGTGTGGTTAACTATTAACCCAGGCAGTTACACAGCTAGTGATGGGCTGCATGTTGCATCAGCATCAGCAGTGCTTATCAAGTTCTCACCACTATACAAGTCGGATCTGCACAAAACTTGACCTACATAAGGCAGGTAAAGAACAATGAATGTTCCCTTTCACAGATAAAACTGATTCAACAGCCTTACACTGTAATAATACAGGTATAAAGAACACACAGATAGGATTCTTCACACACATGTACTGTAAATAATGGTGGGGGAAATATCTCCATGGTAACCTCAAGGTGATGGTAAGTGCATACCAAAAAACGGAAAGCGCATTGAGCAGGTCAGAAAGAGGGAGTAGAGAGTTTGAGGGAACCACCTCTTTTTACACAGCAAGAGACTGGCCGCGTTCGACATTGCAGCACACTTTATAGGAAAGTCGAGACTGGCTGATTAACTTGCATCATAAATAACTATTCAATATTATTTGTAGATCAGTCAGTCTCAATTTTCCCATGATACATCATGGTTTCGAAGCTCTCGAACACGGCCATTGAGTCAGAGAGAATCTCTCAGCTGCAGGCACATTCAGGCCTAAAACAGGAAAATAGGACTAGGCCCTATTTATAATCACACGACCAAACCAGTACATCAGCTCGTTTACATTAGGCCTATGCATGTGCAATCAATGCCCTTAGCAGTTCATCTTCCAGAAGGATACTTGACACAGTGTGCATGCATATAAGCAGGCCAAACTAGATAAATGAGCAGTTTACTAATGATGAGGATGATGATATGCATTACATATTGGTCACTGAATACATTTTAACTTTAAAATCACTTCATTTTGAAATATATAATTATTTCACCTATTCTAACATGTCATTTTTCTGTCCTTGTAGATGAGGAATCATTTTATATCCAGAATCTGATAATAAGTGGTTTATGCTCGAGGCAGCTAATGCAGCAGGGAATCAGTCAATCTTTATGGCATCTCCTGGACAATAGACCGGGTCTGTAAAATGACCTTACAGTATGATACGACCTTCACCATCGCAGTGATGAAAAAGGCCCATCATCTGGAGATGGCTGCCTCTCCATCCTCCATAGTGACACCGAGCCGGAACCTGTTGTTCCTGTCTTTGCAAACGGTTGACATCTTGATTAAAGTATACACACAAGTATATTTTAGCAGCTAATACAATTAGCTACAATTCGGACAGAGTAACCTAATCGGTACACATTGATGCGACACACCACACCATGGCTTCCCCCTTCAGAGAGAGAGAGAGCATCACTGGAATCATACAATTAATCTCCAATCATCATTAATCTCATCCCCCAAAATGAAAACTCTCAATTATAATTCAACATCCACTTCCTTAAAAAAGTGGGCTCGGCTTAATTTGGCTACATTTATTTGTTTCGATTTTTCATCATTGCGACGGTAACGTTCTAGAATGCTATGACGCAATCAAAAGAATTCATCATGAGTATGTGCTGAGACACGTAGCTAGCTAGAGCAACATTTCTGGGATTTCCTGTCCAGTCATCCATGCCAGAACTCTTGATTTACACCGACCATTTGATACAACTATTTAGGTTCAGATGTTGGGAAAAGGATTAACTGGTTATTCATGGCATGAAGACATAATCTAAATGTTGCATGAAGCCACAATATTCGTTCTCAACAGTCTTCCGCAAAATGCACCGTCGTTCGAGCTACAGTGTCACGTAACCTCTGCACATTTTGCCTTCTAATGAATGAATAATGAATTATCTTGTTGTTCTCAGCTAAATGCTCAACTCGTGTTTTAATAAACAAGATGTGTATGTGCTATGCATTAGTTAGCAAACTACACGTCATATTTTCAGAAATTATGTTGTACAGAAACGCGAATTATTACACAAGGCCATGGGCGCATCCTTTCCCCGCCTCCATCATTTATTTCCTGGCTTTGTAATGTTAAAGAGAAAAGAGAGGCTCAGAAGTAGCTACTGCTACACTATTACAACGGCATTCTTAAACACAAAGAAGACACATATAGAGCGATAAGTATTACAATTATTGCTGTACATTAACTCCTTTGTCGTTCGTTCCTACCTTGAGGGGAGATGCTGCAGCGTCTGTGCAAGCTGAGCGTACAGACTTCCGAATTTATAGCAGACAGTGACACGTGCATTGGGCTAATCGCCCTGGAAACATGACGTCACACGATCTTCTGCTGGGGCACGGCTGCTATGGAAACCATAGAGCAACTGGGGGGTGGTTGCCAACCCAAGGGCGGAAGGGGAGGATACAACAAGCTGATGATGCCCTATACATCCAACCAAGCATCAATAGAGTATTTAGAAATATAATCAAAATAGGCTACAATTTTTTTTTTATGGACAGAAATCGAAATGAGTATTTTATATTATTTTCACACACAGAACCATAACCATTATAACGGATCAATAATGGCAAAGTCGTTAATTTGCATAATTTTATGGAAAAATCTGAGAGTACTGCATTTATCAATGAACGCTCTAAAATTCCATATGCTGCAGCACGTGACTATCTGGGCTAGTGTTCTGCAGAGCGTCGGGCTGCTGGGCTACGTGAGATATGATGCGTACTTCTGTGGAAACCCCATGGACGAAAAGCGTATGAGACCACATTGTGGTGAATCATCATCCATCCATTGTACTTACACACGATCTCAATGTAATAGCGAATTTAACTAATCTAGTTTCTCAGTGTAAAATAATATCTCTGGGGAAAAAACATTGAAAATATATAATTATTTTATGGAAAGGGGGATACCTAGTCAGTTGCACAACTGAATGCATTCAACCGAAATGTATCTTCCGCATTTAACCCAACCGCTCTGAATCAGAGAGGTGCGAGTTCTGCCTTAATCGTCATCAACGTCATCGGCGCCCGGGGAACAGATATTGTTGGGGGTTAACTGCCTTGCTCAAGGGCAGAACGGCAGATTTGTCCACCTTGCCGGCCCGGGGATTCGAACCTGCGACTTTTCGGTTACTGGCCCAAAGCTCTTAACCGCTATGGTGGTATGCTACCAAAATCAAATCAAATCAAATGTTATTTGCCACATGCGCCGAATACAACAGGTGTAGACATTACCGTGAAATGCTTACTTACAGCCCTTAACCAACAATGCATTTATTTCTTAATAAAATAAGTAAAATAAAACAACAACAACAAAAAAGTGTTGAGAAAAAAAGAGCGGAAGTAAAATAAAATAACAGTAGGGAGGCTATATACAGGGGGGTACCGGTGCAGAGTCAATTTGCGGGGGCACCGGATAGTTGAGGTAGTTGAGTTAATATGTACATGTGGGTAGAGTTAAAGTGACTATGCATAAATAATTAACAGAGTAGTAGCAGGGTAAAAAGATGGGGTGGGGGTGCAAATAGTCTGGGTAGCCATGATTAGCTGTTCAGGAGTCTTATGGCTTGGGGGTAGAAACTGTTGAGAAGCCTTTTGGACATAGACTTGGCGCTCCGGTACCGCTTGCCGTGCGGTAGCAGAGAGAACAGTCTATGACTAGGGTGGCTGGAGTCTTTGACAATTTTGAGGGCCTTCCTCTGACACCGCCTGGTATAGAGGTCCTGGATGGCAGGAAGCTTGGCCCCAGTGATGTACTGGGACATACACACTACCCTCTGTAGTGCCTTGCGGTCGGAGGCAGAGCAGTTGCCATACCAGGCGGTGATGCAACCAGTCAGGATGCTCTCGATGGTGCAGCTGTATAACTTTTTGAGGATCTGAGGACCCATGCCAAATCTTTTCAGTCTCCTGAGGGGGAATAGGCTTTGTCGTGCCCTCTTCATGACTGTCTTGGTGTGTTTGGACCATGATAGTTCGTTGGTGATGTGGACACCAAGGAACTTGAAGCTCTCAACCTGTTCCACTACAGCCCCTGTCGATGAGAATGGGGGCGTTCTCAGTCCTCTTTTTTTTTTCCTGTAGTCCACAATCATCTCATTTGTCTTGGTCACGTTGAGGGAGAGGTTGTTATCCTGGCACCACACGGCCAGGTCTCTGACCTCCTCCCTATAGGCTGTCTCATCGTTGTCGGTGATCAGGCCTACCACTGTTGTGTCGTCGGCAAACTTAATGATGGTGTTGGAGTCATGCCTGGCTATGCAGTCATGAGTGAACAGGGAGTACATGAGGGGACTGAGCACGCACCCCTGAGGTGCCCCCGTGTAGAGGATCAGCGTGGCAGATGTGTTGTTACCTACCCTTACCACCTGGGGGCGGCCCGTCAGGAAGTCCAGGATCCAGTTGCAGAGGGAGGTATTTAGTCCCAGGATCCTTAGCTTAGTGATGAGCTTTGAGGGCACTATGGTGTTGAACGCTGAGCTGTAGTCAATGAATAGCATTCTCACGTAGGTGTTCCCCTTGTCCAGGTGGGAAAGGGCAGTGTGGAGTGCAATAGAGATTACATCATCTGTGGATCTGTTGGGGCAGTATGCAAATTGGAGTGGGTCTAGGGTTTCTGGGATAATGGTGTTGATGTGAGCCATGACCAGCCTTTCAAAGCACTTCATGGCTACAGACGTCAGTGCTACGGGTCGGTAGTCATTTAGGCAGGTTATCTTAGTGTCCTTGGGCACGGGGACTATGGTGGTCTGTTTGAAACATGTTGGTATTACAGACTCAGTCAGGGACAGGCTGAAAATGTCAGTGAAGACACTTGCCAGTTGGTCAGCGCATGCTCAGAGTACACGTCCTGGTAAGCCGTCTGGCCCTGCGGCCTTGTGAATGTTGACCTGTTTAAAGGTCTTACTCACATCGGCTACGGAGAGCGTGATCACATAGTCATCCGGAACAGCTGGTGCTCTCATGCATGCTTCAGTGTTGCTTGCCTCGAAGCGAGCATAGAAGTGGTTTAGCTCGTCTGGTAGGCTTGTGTCACTGGGCAGCTCGCGGCTGTGCTTCCCTTTTGTAATATTCATATGTGTCAGCATACTGAATTGTAATTGGATTCATTATACTGTCATATCATACTGTGCTATGATTGGTTAAGACCACCCAGGTGGTGAGGGCATTCTAAAGATGATCATGGCCAGAGACACATGGACATGCCAGTTACAGCTAGTTAATAAAGAGCTACGTTTATAAATATCCTGTCATCCTGCATTTTATTATTTTGTACAAAGCATACAAAACAAGACATGGTGTCAGAGTAAAAGGACTGAAATATGGATTTTGCTGGAGTTCCTTCACCTCGAATGGATTGGGGGTCTACAAATCTACCCGATGCATGGCGTAAGTTCAAACAGCATGTGGAGCTGATGTTCACGGGTCCTCTGAAGGAAAGAGGAGAAGAGGAAAAGTGCAGCTACCTGCTCCTCTGGATCGGTGAAAAAGGGAGAGACATTTACAACACATGGACACTTACCGAGGCTGAATCAAAGGTACTGAAAACATACTACGATCGTTTTGAAGCATATGTTGTGCCAAAGACCAATACAATTTTCGCTAGGTACAAATTCCATGAGAAAGTACAAGGCGCTAGCGAATCGTTTGAACAGTTTGTCACTGAGCTGCGTCTGCTTGTGAAAGACTGTGATTATGCAAACAAGGATGAGATGGTCAGGGACCGTATTGTATTTGGAATACACTCACCGCGAGTGAGAGAGAAACTTTTGAATGTTGGATCAGAGTTAACGCTGGACAAAGCTATCGACATAGCCAGATCTCACGAGCTAGCACAGGTTCAGATGAAAACCATTTCAGGCGGCAGCACGAGCGCATCACGTGAACAAGCAGTGCACGCAGTCAGGCAGACATCAAAGCACACCTCCAGTGCCCAGAGAGCATGTTTCAGAACGGAGACAGACAGAACTCCAAAACAGAGCGACACAGACTCCAAACGCCCCAAAACATGTGGATATTGTGGATACAAAGTGCATGGCGAACAGGGGAATTGCCCAGCTAAAGGCAAACAGTGTACTAAATGTGGAAAATGGAATCACTTTGCAAAAGTGTGCAGAGTTTACCGTGGAAAAACAGTACATACAGTGAGTGAAGATGAAATGTCAATCAAAGAGTCAAATGCTGATGAACTGTTTATTGATTCAGTGACACAGAAAAGTCAGATATCAGAGACAGAGCAAGCCTTTGCTGACATTGAGATAGGAAGACAAGGCACAGAGCTAAAATTCAAACTAGACACTGGTGCACAAGTAAACATTATTCCTCTGAGTAAGTACAGAAGCTTGACATCTGAGTGTGAGCTACAGCCCACCACGCGCAGACTGACTGGTTATGGTGGTGAACAGCTCCCAGTAAAAGGCACATGCACTCTCAAATGCAAATACAAGGAAAGGGACATGATGTTGGACTTTTACGTTGTTGACACTCGAGCACCTGCAGTGCTAGGTCTTAAAGCATGTTTAGACATGGACCTTATCAAGCTAGTTTTATCAGTGACAGCACCAGTAGAGATAAAGAATGTCATGGAGGAGTTTGCTGATGTTTTTACAGGAATATGACTATTCCCAGGAGAATGTACCATTCACCTTGACCCAGACGCAACCCCTGTGGTCTACCCACCGAGAAAGATTCCACTTGCTCTCCGCGCCCGTCTGAAGAAAGAGTTGGAGAGCATGGAGCAATCTGACATCGTCACCAAGGTTACAGAACCGACGGATTGGGTCAACGCGTTAGTGGTGGTGGAGAAACCACGCACAGGCAAGCTCAGAGTATGTCTCGACCCAAGAGACTTGAACAAGGCTATCAAACGCCCCCATTACCCCTTACCGACGCTAGATGGCATCACACACAAGCTAGCGGGCGCACGCTACTTCAGTGTCATGGACGCCAGATCAGGCTACTGGGCTATCAAGCTCACAGAAGAGTCATCTAAGCTCACAACGTTCAACACACCGTTTGGACGCTACAGGTTCCGTCGCCTGCCTTTTGGGATTATCTCAGCCCAAGACGAGTTTCAGCGAAAGATCGACGAGGTGTACGAAGGCCTCGACGGAGTCGTGGCAATTGTGGACGACATCCGTGTCTATGGTCGAACCAAAGAGGAACACCACAGAAACCTCAACGCGATGCTGCAAAGGTCCCGCGAGAGAGGAGTCCGGCTCAACCCCGAGAAGAGCACAGTCGGCGCTACAGAGGTCAGCTACTTTGGACATCTTCTCACAGCGAATGGAATCAAGCCAGATCCGCAGAAGATCTCAGCCATAAAGGAAATGGAGCCACCAAAGAACCGCGCAGAGCTGGAAACAGTGCTTGGCATGGTCAACTACTTAGCCAAGTTCGCACCCAGCCTCTCCAATGCTAATGCACCCCTGCGTCAGCTGCTAAAGCAGTCCAGTGAGTTCCTCTGGGACAACCAACACGACATCGCTTTCCAGAAAGTGAAAGACTTGATCACGAGAGAACCAGGACCAATCCTTGCCTACTACGACCCCAACAAAGAGCTCAGACTCCAGGTGGACGCGTCAAAGTATGGACTAGGCTACGCTTCCAAATCTCTCACAGACTGTGAAATCAACTACGCTCAAATCGAAAAGGAGCTGTACGCCATTCTGTTCGGATGTAAGCGTTTCCATCAGTATGTCTATGGACGACAAGTCATTGTGGAATCAGACCACAAGCCCCTCGAGTCAATCATGAGGAAACCGTTAGCCGCAGCCCCGCCAAGGCTACAGAGAATGATCCTTCAACTACAAAAATACGACTTCACAATCACTCACCGTCCAGGCAAAGACATCCCTGTCGCAGACACACTCTCCAGGAAGTTTCTTACCTACAAGGACAGCAGCCTCAGTGAAGGCATGGACATGCAGGTGCACACTGTGTACAGCAACTTACCAGTTAGTGACACAAAACTGAAGGAGATCCGAGCAGAAACAGAAAAAGACACACAACTCACACAGCTGAGGAAAGTCATACAGTCAGGATGGCCTGAGGAGAGGAGAAAATGCCCTCAGAGCGTCTCAGAGTTCTGGAACCATCGTGACGAACTATCACAGATCAACTGAATAATTTTCAAAGGAGAGAAAATCATCATTCCTACCAGTCTCAGAGAAGAGATTTTGACAAAGATCCATGCTGGACACATGGGCATGGAAAAGTGCAAACAGAGAGCACGGGACATTTTGTTTTGGCCCGGAATGTGCAAACAAATAGAGGACATGGTTGGTAAATGCCCCACCTGTCTTGAATGACGCCCCTCAAACACCAAAGAGCCAATGTTACCTCACCGTATCCCAGACCGACCCTGGCAGGTCGTGGCAACAGATCTGTTCACGTGGAACAACGAGGACTACATTATAACAGTGGACTACTACAGCAGATACTTCGAACTCGACAAGCTTCACAGCACCACATCTGCAGCTGTGATACACAAGCTGAAAGCAGCCTTTGCCAGGCATGGCATTGTAGAGACTTTAATATCTGACAATGGGCCCTGTTACAAATCAAATGAGTTTGAATCCTTCACAAAAGCATGGGAGTTCACACACGTCACCACAAGCCCACATTACCCTCAAAGTAATGGCCTTGCTGAAAAATCTGTGCAGATCGCTAAATCACTCATGGACAAAGCAAAAGCAGACAAGAGAGACCCCTACCTTGGTCTCCTTGAATACCGCAACACTCCAGTTGACAACTTCAAATCACCAGCCCAGCTGTTGATGAGCCGCAGACTTCGCTCAATCCTTCCCAGCACCAACCAGCAGCTGCAACCTGAGGTCGTCAGCTACAAGGAAGTGCATGCAAAACGTGCACAGAGACAACAACAGCAAAAGCGATACTACGACAGGTCAGCCAGACCACTGCCACCACTGAACGATGGAGAGTCAGTTAGAATCCAGGAGCACGGCTACTGGAAGCCAGCAGTCGTCATCCAACCAGCTGACACTGAACGTTCATATCTCGTTCGCACCGCAGAAGGAGCGGTGTACCGCCGCAATCGTCGTCACCTACTGAACACAAAAGAACAACACACTGACGAGATGAACTGTTCCCCTGAAAGAGAACGGGGTGGACTAAACACAGACACAACACAACATACACCATACTTACCTGCAACACCACAATAACTGTTGACTGACACAGAAGCATGCTCAGCTTCATATCACACAAGGTCAGGAAGAGAGGTCAAGCCTAGAGCTGTCCTAGACCTGTGAAATGTCAAAGGGTGTAGGCGGATCGCTGCCCTAAAAGAGTTCCAGACTGTAAACTTGTTATTGAAAGTTAACTTGAAATGCTTTGGTATGGTATTTGTTTGATATGTTGAGATGTCATTGCTACAGTGAAAAGCTGAGTTGCTGAGAAATATTTGTTCTAAAAGTAACAGTATGCTGAATCATTGTTTGTCTGTTATGTTGATGCAGTTGGTGCAGTTTAAATGGTTACTTACCTCGAGTTCAAACTACAGAGCATATATTCAAAAGAAACGCTTTATTGTTCTACATATTTTTTCTTTTTTTTAAAAGAAGGGGGATGTAATATTCATATGTGTCAGCATACTGAATTGTAATTGGATTCATTATACTGTCATATCATACTGTGCTATGATTGGTTAAGACCACCCAGGTGATGAGGGCATTCTAAAGATGATCATGGCCAGAGACACATGGACATGCCAGTTACAGCTAGTTAATAAAGAGCTACGTTTATAAATATCCTGTCGTCCTGCATTTTATTATTTTGTACAAAGCATACAAAACAAGACACCTTTGTAGTCTGTAATAGTTTTCAAGCCCTGCCACAGCCGACGAGTGTCAGAGCCAGTGTAGTGTGATTCAATCTTAGTCCTGTATTGACTCTTTGCCTGTTTGACGGTTCGTCGGAGGGCATAGCGGGATTTCTTATAAGCGTCCAGGTTAGAGTCCCGCTCCTTGAAAGCGGCAGCTCTACCTTTTAGTTCAGTGCGGATGTTGCCTGTAATCCATGGCTTCTGGTTGGTGTACGTACGGTCACTGTGGGGACGACGTCATCGATGCACTTATTGATGAAGCCAGTGACTGATGTGGTGTACTCCTCAGTGCTATCTGAAGAATCCCGGAACATGTTCCAGTCTGTGCTAGCAAAACAGTCCTGTAGCTTAGCATCTGCGTCATCTGACCACTTTTTTATTAACCGAGTCACTGGTGCTTCCTGCTTTAGTTTTTGCTTATAAGCAGGAATCAGGAGGATATAGTTATGGTCAGATTTGCCAAATGGAGGGCGAGGGAGAGCTTTGTATGCGTCTCTGTGTGTGGAGTAAAGGTGGTCTAGAGTTTTTTTTCCTCTGGTTGCACATTTAACATGCTGGTAGAAATAAGGTAGAACGGATTTAAGTTTCCCTGCATTAAAGTCCCCGGCCACTAGGAGCACTGCCTCTGGATGAGTGTTTTCCTGTTTAGTTATGGCCTTATTCAGCTCATTGAGTGCAATCTTATAGACAGCTATGAAAAATATAGATAAAAACTCTCTTGGTAAATAGTGTGGTCTACAGCTTATTAAACGTTGAGTTTTGAAGTTGACTAGATTCATCTCTAATCTGACTGAACAGGGTGTATATTAAATGTTACATCACATATGGTGAGTGGCGCAAAAATATCTAAATGTATAGGAATAATAATATGTGAAGCCAATTAGCTGTCAAACCATAGTCATTGTGTCAAACCAAGAACACACTGTAGTCTACTTTACTCAATGGCCCCATCGTGTGGTAGTGCGTTGAAATGACCCAAAGGAAAGGAAGTACATCAATGACATCATATCCCTCAAGCTTTTTTCACTGTGGAGGTGTCAAAGCTATATTATGGATTTGAGAATTAAAAAAATGCTTAAAGGTACCACTCATTCTGGCGGGCACATTACTGTTGCATACCGGTGTTGTTAATGCACAGAAATAGGGAAAGGCCAATAACAAGGATAATGAGCCTATCAGCTACTTGATGAATCTAATTATTTTCTTTCGCAATATCGTTCTCCTAAGGAAAGCAGCAACATCAATGGAGTCAGGAAGTGAATTCTGTAAAGTCATCCTGGAGGGAGGGGAGTAGCCTACCCACAACCCAGCTCAGCCAATGGCAGCCCAGCTCAGCCACCCACAGCCAAGCAGACGGTCTGATGCTGTGTGGACAGATGTAGGACAGGATAAGATTAGATCAACCAGAGGTAGACTGAGCTACACAATGGACAAACCCCTGAGTGTCTCTGGCTTTTAATAAAAGTGATTCATTAATTTGAATTGAAATTATAATGGTGGAGAAACATTTCAGGTATCTCTCTAGAATATGAAGTCATACAATACATTATATTTGACACACTTTATTCATACAAATACAGAAATACAATGCATATAGGCTACTGTATCACCAAGAAAGAACCCTTGATGGCAAATATGTTTGATGTTATACATAAAAAGGCAATGGAATTCAGAAGCAAAGGAAAGGATTCTAGTGGGTTGGATCCCCGGGACCACCCATACACAAAAATGTATGCACGCATGACTGTAAGTCGCTTTGGATAAAAGCGTCTGCTAAATGGCATATTATTATTATTATTATTATTCTAAATTAAATTTGACATGACAAACTCACATCAAGCATTCTATTTTTTGTATTAGAACATGGAGGTGTCTTTAAAAACATATCACATAAGAATTTATGGTTATTGTTTCAATGTATAAGATTTGGTTCCATATCAGAAATGGTTTAGGATATTCAGAGTTTGGCAAACCTTGTTTGATATTTAAATTCTAATGGACACCATGGCACCAATGTTTGTAATGGAATGTTTGGGGCCAAGACGGAGGATAGTTTGCTAGCCAGACTCCGTCTGTATAGCAGGTTTACGTTTATTGTCATGAGTCTTGTCCTAGAGGCAGAACTGAGCGATTTCCTCTTAGGGCAGCTTTAAAGTCAAATTGGCTATATTGTAAAAGTTCATGAAAACAAAAATAAGTTTAGGGTTAGCCATTAGCTAGGGTTAGCAGTGTGGTTAAGGTTAGGGTTAAGGTTAGGGTTAGGATTAAAAACTGATTTTATGACTTTGTGTCTTTGCCAGCTAGTGACCACTCTGCAGAGCAGAGCTGCCTCCAGAACAAGATTCATGATGAAAAACGCTAACCTGCGTCTGTCTACCAATGGCTCTGGTCTAGATATCTGCCCTCTTCTCTCAATAATACAGCTCCTGGTCCCACCAACCTGTGAGAGGGAATGGAAATAATCAGAATTAGGGTGGACTACTGCAAGAAATGGATGGATAGATGATAAATAGATGGATGGATGGATGGATGGATGGATGGGTGGGTGGGTTGGTGGGTGTGTGGATGGATGGGTGGGTGGGTGGGTGGATGAATGGATGGATAGATGCATGGATGAATGAATGGATAAGACAGAGGCAAGCATGGTTACTTACTTCCTGGATGTCTTCTGACCCCCAGCTTCCTGATCTCGTCATAGACGAAGATTAGAATTCCGTACGGGATTGGAACGAACCACCATTGGCCCCTGTAAGGGGGAGTTACACGCATGAACAAACCAACATGAAAGCCATCAAAACAATGACAGAGAAGATGAATCGACAACCATTTAAGTAAAAAATAGTGTAACAGTACCTAATGGGCATGAAGTTGAAAATGTTAGGCATCCCTGGGCAGTAGCACAGCAGGTTACCCAGTAACAGCTGGAAGACGATGGCACTCACCAGCACCTTGTTCCTGCACACAAAGGGAAAACATGGAGGATGATCAAACAATGTTTTATTAGCCCCATTAAGATTGACACATCCCAAGTTATTTTGTTGGAAGCCTTCTCTGCCACCATCCTTTCATGAACGAGACATAAAATGGAGTATATGATTGTATGTAGGGAGTAAGAGACATTTGTTCCCTGCAGTCACCATCCACTGACCTAAAGAAGCCCTGCTGGAAGATGGACAGACGGCGGGTTTTCCTGATCAACACGTCAGCAATCTGGCAGATCTCGATACTGATGAAGAAGACAGTGTAGCAGGTGTACTGCTGATACAGACGCTGGGCATATGTCTGCAGAACAGACAAGACAGGAGATTTTCAACAGGCATTTCCAGGAGGTACAGGTAAGTGAGGGCGCTGTAATGCCACACGCACTCGCCACCCCTGGCCATAAGACACACACACACTAAGCCCCTCCTGGCCATATCTATCCTACAGTAAGCCACACACACTCACCCACTCCTGGCCATAGCTGTCCTGCAGGTCCTGCAGATGGACGTTCTCCCAATGGGACCTGAGCCCCACACACAGCAGGGGATACCAGCCCTCCTGGGCCATCGCTGTAAAGTAGTCTGTGAAACCAGCGAAAGACTGGATCGCTCCTGGAGAAGGGAAGAGGGGGAAAGGGGGAGAGAGAAACAAAAAGAGAGGGAGGGAGGAGAAAATTGAACATGAAAAATGTACTATTAGACTATTTGTAGATTATCACCTTGAATATTGGTCAATAAACCATTCAGCTTCAAGGATCAATCGAGCTCAAAGGACCTAGTGAAAAAGCAAGGCCTCTTCCAGACATTTACATACTACAGGAACAGACATGAACCCTCACCAATCTGGAAGTAGGAGTAGGCAGCCAGAGCTTCATTCACCAACCTATCCTTACGCGGGTTCCTGGGTTTCAGATGCATAATATCACTCTCTGCCTTCTCATAGGCCAGAGACACAGAGGGAAACTGTGGGATAGAAGAAGAAGAATCGGCATCATTCTAGAGTGGTCTTAGAGAGCAGGGAGATGAGGGGTGAGGAAGAAGAGGAGACTCACGATGTCAGTGGCCAGCTCGATCATGAGGATGGTGATGCAGCCCAATGGCAGAGGAACGCTGACAGTGATGTAGATGAGGTAGGGCGTGAGCTCCGGAATGTTCTTAGTCAGCGTGTACGCAATGGACTTCTTCAGGTTGTCAAAGATCAGACGGCCTGGGTGTCAAATATGGTCGAAATCATTCCCTCAATATCATTATTACTTAGTATCATGAAGGCTTAACTTTGTGAAACCAAATATTGGTTCACAGGATACATTTAAATTGTAATCAGCCTGTTAAAATGGCAATTTTTTTGTGATTTGCTAAGACACTCTCACTCACCCTGCTCCACCCCTGTGACGATGGAGGCAAAGTTGTCATCCAGCAGAATCATGTCAGCTGCATTCTTGGCTGCGTCAGAGCCAGCTATGCCCATGGCAATACCGATGTCTGCCTTTTTCAACGCAGGGGAGTCGTTCACCCCATCACCTGTCACAGCCACAATGGAGCCCTTAGTGAGAGAGAAAGTGAGAGAGTGAGAGAGAAAGAGATGGGATGAGAGGGTTTGAGAGAGATAACATGACAAAAAAGAAGGGTAAGCAAAACCAAAAACCTCTCTGGAATGCAGTGTGACTAAAGTCTTGGTATTGGTGGGGGGCGGGGCGGGCGGGGGGGGCTCACCAGGCGCTGGCAGCTCTCCACGATGATGAGTTTCTGCTGGGGGGAGGTGCGGGCGAACACCATTTCAGGGTGACTCCTCAACGCTTCGTCCAGCTCCTCACTGCTCATGTCCTTCAGCTGACCGCCACTGATCACACAGGCACGGGCATCCCTGAAGACCACATAGAATAGATTAGATTAGAATATGATAGATTAGAATAGACATGTCAAATCCACTGACAGGGCGATATTACCTCCAAGAAGTTTTAGGAGTTCTCACTCCTTCTTATTTGATATACAAACTCTGTATAAATAGTCAAATCTGTCACAGGAGATGAATCAACCACAGTGAGAGTCAGAATCCTAACCCTGCCATACCGTGTTGGTGTTGGGGACCAAGACCCACCTCCTGTTGACCTGCTCCACGGGGATGCGTTTCCTGGTGGCGATGTCCTCTACTGTCTCACTGCCCTCTGTGATGATGCCAACGTTGGCTGCGATGGCTCTGGCCGTGATCGGGTGGTCGCCCGTCACCATGACTACCTGAGGGAGTTCACAGTGGAATGAGTTGATGTAGGTTGATGTGACACAATGAGAGATACTGTGAGGGTCTGTTACCTTGTATTAGCTATGTTCTAACTCTCTCTCTCTCTCTCCCTTTCTCTCTTTCTGTCTTTCTCCTTTGCTCAATCTCTCCCCCATTTGACCCTCGTACCCTTATTCCAGCCGTGCGGCACTTCATGACAGCGTCTGGCACAGTGGCGCGGGGCGGGTCGATCATGGAGATGAGTCCAGCGAAACACAAACCAGACGTGGTGAAGTTCATCTCATCAGAGTCAAACTTGTAACCACGACGGAACTCATTCTCATTCAGATAGATGTGACAGAAACCTGGAGACAAATGTTTGGACAGATTGGAGGGGTTAATAGTTTTTATGGGCCCATAGAAGAGACACCATTAAGGTACCAATTTCCCCTGAGCTTCTGTGGTACTATTTTGTATTTTCACATTATTTAGATGTAATTTTTCTCCCCTCATCCTCTATTGTAGTCACTTGATCCTGTTGCTTTTCTCTCTTGGCTTGTTCCTACAGCATTCCTGCATGGTTTCCTATAGCCTTGTATGGTCCCTTACCACTGTTGGGGAAGCTACTCTGAAAATATAGCTTATCAAGCTACAAATTAATTCACACTGGAAGAATGAATTCACACGGCCCCGTGTAGCTCAGCTGGTAGAGCATGGCGTTTGCAACAGGGGGCCAGTATGAAAAATGTATGTACTCACTAACTGTAAGTCGCTCTGGATAAGAGCATCTGCTAAATGACTAAAATGTAAGAAGTTAAGCTACACTAAAGCTACCATTAAGAAAAACATAGTTTACTTAACTAAAGTTACTTAGAAAAAGTAGTTCACTACATCCAAACTCACTTTGTGTTAAATTATTATATCTGAAACGTCATAGACTACAAATTGCAAGAACAGATCATTCTGCAGTCAGATGAGTGGCGCAGTGGTCTAAGGCACTGCATCGCAGTGCTAGCTGTGCCACTAGAGATCCTGGTTCGAATCCAGGCTCTGTCGTAGCCGGCTGCGACTGGGAAACCCATGGGGCGGCGCACAATTGGCCCAGGGTATTGGAGGGAATGGCTGGCAGGGATGTAGAGCATGGCCAGGGTTGTGGGTTCGATTCCCATGGGGGGCCAATATAAGTCGTGTCTGCTAAATGACTAAAATGTAAACACAAAACATTAGGCAGGTCTGATGCCAAAAAAAATTAAGAAAATTCTTGCCTACTTCACTGGTCACCCATATTTTATTTTATTTTAGCCCAAAAAAGTAGTGTGTAGTTCCAGTAGTTAGCTACAATGCTACATGGCAAAAAAGTAACACTAAAAAAGTAAAACTACTGAAAACACTTCCAAGATTTGAATTTAATTCAACTACTACCAAGCTACTAAAAAAATTACTAGTTGAATTACATTTACATTTTAGTCATTTAGCAGACGCTCTTATCCAGAGCGACTTACAGTTAGTGAATACATATTTTTTTTATACTGCCCCCCGTGGGAATCGAACCCACAACCCTGGCGTTGCAAACGCCATGCTCTATCAACTGAGCTACATCCCTGCCGGCCATTCCCTCCCCTACCCTGGACGACGCTGGGCCAATTGTGCGCCGCCCATGAGTCTCCCGGTCGCGGCCGGCTGCGACAGAGCCTACATGTAGTTCACTACTCCCCAACACAGTCCCTTACCCAGCACTCTCTCCCCCAGGCTCCCCAAGTCCATGTATGCGGTTTGGAAGGCCTCTCTCCACTGTTCGTCCAGGGGCAGCTCCTGGCCCTTGATCAGGATGGTGGAGCAGCGCTCCAAGATCCTCTCTGGCGCCCCCTTCATCACCAGCAGGTAGCGCAGGTCCATGGGGTCCTCCAACTCATGCACTGACAGCTTCTCGCCACCGGGGGAGAGAGAGTATAATTCAAACACAAATAGCTCATTCTGGTAACGCCATTAAGGTAATTCTAATGGTCACATGATACACCTATACAACATACTATAGATTATATAACACACTTTCAACAGACTGACTTGAAATCAGATCAGAAAATCAGGCCTCTTACCTGGAACTTGTTGGTGGAGTTGAATGGTACTTCAACAACCTTTTTGAATCGCTCCCTGTATTCCATCATGTTCCCTATGGCCAGCTCAGTGAACTTCAGCAGAGCCGTCTCTGAGGCGTCGCCCACCACTATTCTCTGTTGCACATAGGTGTATATGAAAAAAGGTGTTTACATCATAAATCATCTAGTTTTTAATTGATGCTGTGTTTGAGAATGAATATGTTTGCCAATGTGTCTGTTGAGGCTGGTATCGATCTGCTCACCCTAGGAATAGGTAGAGACTCCTGGTTGGGTTTGAAGATGGCCCGGTTACAGAGTCCTGCCACTCTTGCCAACGATCGCCATGTCTCGGATGATTGGTCAAAGCTCTGACCTGATTGGTCCTCTGTGGTGTCTGCGGCATGGACCACATTGTCGAACCACAGGTGGGCAACGGTCATCCTGTTCTGGGTCAGAGTGCCCGTCTTGTCGGAGCAGATGACCGAGGTGGAGCCCAGGGTCTCCACAGCCTCCAGGTTCTTCACCACACAGTTCTTCCTGGCCAGTCGCTTGGCCGTCAGCGACAGACACACCTGGGGGGAGAGAGAGGGAGGAGGTGGATGAAAACTGTTAATAACCAACTTGATGAAGGCCTAGACAGACCAGAGCCTCAGTGTTGACTCACAGTGACAGTAGCCAGCAGCCCCTCAGGTACATAGGCCACCACGATGGCCATGAAGAAGATCATAGCCTCCAGGAAGGCATAGCCAATAAACATGGCCACCACGAAGAAGGTGAATCCAAAGAAGATGGCCAGCCCAGCAATGATGTCAACAAAATGCTCAATCTCTATGGCAATTGGTGTCTTCTCATTGCCTACGCCTGACGCCAAGCTGGCAATGCGGCCAATGATGGTGCGGTCACCCGTGTTGATGACCGTTCCTGTGGCCACTCCTGGTAGGGGCCAAGCAGAGGAAAAGGGATTTTAGATTACATTGTGATTATGATGTTGATGTTTTTGCTAATTTGTGTTGTTATGAGTGTAAGTGTTTCTGTGTGAATATTTTCTGTGTGTGATTGAATAAGGGGTGTGTGTCTGTCAGAGGAGGCTGGAATATATGGAATGGTACCAATACTACCAAACACATCAGACTCTGTTCCATTTATTCCATTCCAGCCATTAAAATGAGCCCGTCCTCCTATAGCTCCTCCCACCAACCTCCTCTGGAGTCTGTCTGTAGTACCTTTCAGGCAGTGGTGGCAGCGTGTATGTGTGTCTGCATGCCAGTGTGTGTGTGTATGTGTTTATGTGTGTGTGTAGCTCAGGAGGTTGGTGGCAACTTAATTGGGGAGGACGGGCTCATCGTACGGAATAAATGGAATGGGATCAAACTCATCAAACACATTGTTTCCATGATGTTTGATGCCATTCCATTGACTCCATTCCAGCCATTATTATGAGCCGTCCTTCCCTCAGTGTCTACCTTCCAGGCAGGTGGTGGAGAAGAAGGCGATGTTCTTGGTCTCTAGGGGGTTCTCGTGGGTACACTCTGGGGTTTTGCTCTGGGGCTCTGACTCTCCTGTCAGGGATGAGTTATCCACCTGGAGGGGATGATGAGATCAAGGAAATCAGGGTTATAACATATGAAATCAACCAGGGTTCAAACCGAGGTCTTCTGCATAACCTAACCCTAACCCTAGCCCTAACTTCATGTTCACATCCCGAGTCAACCCTAACCCTAACTATGGCTTCATGTCCACATCCCGGATCAACCCTAATCCTAGCTTCAGCCCTAACCCTAACTCTATAACCCTAATATTAATCCTAGCCCTAATCCTAGCCCTAATCCTAGCTCTATGTTCACATTCCTGCTCAACCTTCATCAACACCCTTAGCCATTGAAACTGTGTTAGTGGTCTATAATGGGAACTGGTGGCCTATTGTACCTACCTTACAGCCCTGGGCAAAGATGATGCGGATGTCAGCAGGCACACGGTCGCCGCCCTTGATCTCCACCAGGTCTCCCACCACCAGGTCCATGGCATTGATCTGGTTCTTCTGCCCATCACGGATCACCAGGGCTTGCTAGAAAGAGATAGATGGTTATACCAAATCCCAGGATTTCAATGATTGATTGATGGACTGACTGCCTTGGCTCAGTGCTGTAGTGAGTGGATTATGATCTGTCTTGATGAAAGGAATATATTTGTCATGAAAGTAAACAGTTTCTTACAATAACAAAGTAACTGTTGTATGGGTATTCAGGGCCAGGAGTTTTTCCTGGTCTGGTAACATGTTCAGGAAATACTCATGGCCCTAGTTATAATGTATTTCTTTAGTTATAATGTATTTCCCTAGTTATAATGTATTTCCCTAGTTACAATGTATTTCCTTAGTTACAATGTATTTCCTTGGTTATAATGTATTTCTCTAGTTATAATGTATTTCCATATCTTTACCTGTGGCACTAGATTTTTGAAGCTGGCGATGATGTTGGTGCTCTTAAACTCTTGGTAGTAACCGAAACAGCCAGTCACCACAACAACAGTGATCAGAGTGATGGCGAGGTACAGCTGTAGACAGGTGTGGTCACAGATAAATAGTGATGAAACAAACAGTCACAATATGTTGAAGATGTAATACATGTTGTTATCGTATATATTCCCCTTTCTTCACATTCAGTACTTGCTCCTTCAGCCTCACAGTGCAACTTTAGCCTCTCCTTCACCCTCTCAGTGTAACTTTAGCCTCTCCTTCAGCCTCCCAGTGTAACTTTAGCCTCTCCTTCACCCTCTCAGTGTAACTTTAGCCTCTCCTTCAGCCTCCCAGTGTAACTTTAGCCTCTCCTTCACCCTCTCAGTGTAACTTTAGCCTCTCCTTCAGCCTCCCAGTGTAACTTTAGCCTCACCTTCACCCTCTCAGTGTAACTTTAGCCTCTCCTTCACCCTCTCAGTGTAACTTTAGCCTCTCCTTCACCCTCTCAGTGTGACTTTAGCCTCTCCTTCAGCCTCCCAGTGTAACTTTAGCCTCTCATTCACCCTCTCAGTGTAACTTTAGCCTCTCCTTCACCCTCTCAGTGTAACTTTAGCCTCTCCTTCACCCTCTCAGTGTGACTTTAGCCTCTCCTTCAGCCTCCCAGTGTAACTTTAGCCTCTCATTCTGCCTCCCAGTGTACCTTTAGCCTCTCCTTCACCCTCTCAGTGTAACTTTAGCCTCTCCTTCACCCTCCCAGTGTAACTTTAGCCCCTCCTTCACCCTCCCAGTGTAACTTTAGCCCCTCCTTCATCCTCCCAGTGTAACTTTAGCGAACGCTTCAACTCTCTCCTTATCCATCTGTCAACAATCCTTTCCTCACTATTCTAATATTGTTCAACATTCCTGCCCTATAGTCTCGTACTCCACCTCTTCCTCCACCTCTCTCCTCCCCCTACTCCTACCCTTCCTCTCTCCTCCTCTCCTCCCCCTTTTTCTTTCCCCGCTCCCTCCTCCTCACATCGTCAAAGCACCCGAGGGTTCCCCTGGAGAACTCGATGCCGAAAGCAATGAAGCAGATGACGGCTGCCACCCACATCAGACACTGCAGCCCTCCGGCCAACTGGCGGGCAAACTTGACATACTCTGGGGTCCCTTTGGGGGGAAGCAGTTCGTTGGGGCCATCCCGCTCCAGAACCTCCACGGCTTTGCTGGAGGTCAGGCCCTGAGGGGAGGGAAGGGGAGGAGGAAGGGGGAGAGAGTGAGAGAGAGGGAGAGGGAGAGAGAGAGCATTTACTCTGTATTAGCAGCAGTCTGTTTCATCACAAAGACAGACAGACAGACAGACAGACAGACAAACAGACACAGACAGACAGACAGACAGACAGACAGACAGACAGACAGACAGACAGACAGACAGACAGACAGACAGACAGACAAAGACACAGACATAGACATAGACACAGGCACAGACAGAAACCCCATGGTAGTTTAGTTACCTTGGTAACACTGGTGGTATACCTCATCTCTAGCTCTTCTATTGTGATCTCGTGGTCATCCTGTAAAGATTGACAGACTGTAAAAGCTACAATGTATTTATGCTGCAATTCTGTCCCATTTCATTTCCTTTTGGTCTTGTGAATTACACTCACAATGTCCATCTCCTTCTTCATGCCCTCTAGCCTATCCTTTTTCTTCATCTTCTTCTTTTTCTTCATCTTGATGTCCACCTCTCCATTAATCTCAAACATGTCGTAAGAGTCCTGAAGACAAAGAAATGATATCCTGTATCATCTTGCCAGGGGGTGAATAAACAATATCCTTGATCATTGAAGGAAAATCACATTTAATTTATGGCAATTTGATCAGCGCTTTGATTAATCACATAAATGGGTCACCTACCCCTTTACTCATGGTGGAGGGCCTGCCCAAATCAATTGAAGTCCAACGCTCAGTCCTCTTTTCCCCCGAAATCTTGGAAGCGTCTTTATATCCACACTAGGGACGTTCCTCACAGTAAAATCCCCAACCTCCAGAGCAGGACCAGACTGTTGGCTCAGCTTTATATACTACTGCACCACCTTCACCTTCTCTACCCGCCCCAAAATGGCAGTGCCATTTTAAGTGCAGCCAATGTCACCCCTATTAAGGTTAGTGGCAACGCGTCCCCTACCCACTTTGGTGGCTCTTTCATATCAGTGCCAATGGCCTTGTGCGTAGGGCTTGTACCGGTCTTATCAGAATACACACTTTCTACATTCCCTGATTAACTGTAAAGCTACCAAGAAGGTCAATGCCATTCCAAAGTCACAACTACTTCTTTCACTTGTGATAGGCCAAATCTGTATTACATCAAGGATGATTTTCTTCTCAACTCAGATACCCATTAATTGACTGATACATTGACACTGAGACAATGACTGGTACAGATACAGAAGACATGAATTGGATGAAACACATCTAGTGAGAAGTAGATTCAAATGCCTTCTATATACTATAGTTCATTATCTGCCCTCAGGAGGGCTTAACTTACAGAATATATCACTGTAAAAAACTGTAATGGTCAATTCAAATAAAATACAGTGGTATGGTCATGCCAGGGCTATAAGCATTTAGAAATGGGGACCGTTTTTCTACATTTCCTGCTTAGGGGCCAATGTGAGAACACCTTATCAGTGGAAGAGTGTGTAAATACTTATTTGTGCCTCAGACTGCTGAAAGTCTCCTGAGTGGCGCAGTGGTCTAAGGCACTGCATCGCAGTGCTAACTGTGCCACTAGAGATCCTGGTTCGAATCCAGGCTCTGTCGCAGCCGGCCGCGACCGGGAGACTCATGGGCGGCGCACAATTGGCCCAGCGTCGTCCAGGGTAGGGGAGGGAATGGCCGGCAGGGATGTAGCTCAGTTGATAGAGCATGGCATTTGCAACGCCAGGGTTGTGGGTTCCAAATCCCAAGGGGGGCCAGTATAAAAAATATATATATATGTATTCACTAACTGTAAGTCGCTCTGGATAAGAGCGTCTGCTAAATGACTAAAATGTAAAAATGAAAGGTGTGATGGTGGCACACCATTGGCATCACTGCTGCGTCATCTGCCCTTATAAGGAAAGGACAGTTGAACATTAAAAATGCATTGACACTCACAACCTCTTATGTACTGCAACATGTTCCCATCACAAAGACACCAGTGGGCGGGAGATGAACTGACGTAATACTTTTAGAACTGTAATTGATATACCGCTATGCCTATTATAACTTTTATTGAATTAAGTGAAATAATGTTTATTCACCGGGCAATTTCCATCTAGTGAACTCTGTCATCTGCCAAATTATCAATCATTTTCCATCATGTTTGTAAGACATGTACTGTAAGCACCCTGAACAGGTGATTTTATAACTAACCCAAGATAGACCAAAGCCTGTTGTTTCCAATTGGAGCAAATTAATCATCACGGTCAGAACAAGCAAGGAGGTGGGCAGAGTCAAGCACGAGCTAGTGAGATTCTATTGGCGCGTTCTAGCATTTAATTGCATATTTCCGTTAGGGAACACCTACTCTGTGAAGTGCGCATGTGTAATAACTCCATTTGCCCAACACCATTTTTAGAAACTTTGGCAAAGGGTAAAGTCTACAAAACGCAATCCACTCTGTTTGTTACAGATTATAGTTTTGGAAACAGAAAACTGTATGGAGATCAAATATTTAATTGACAGTGGCGTGTATTCATGGATGCCAAGGGAAGCCAGGCTTCCCAGAAACATTTACCAATAATAAAATAAAAAACATACAATAATTTATCTTTCGTCTCTCTGTGTTTCACAACTGAGTGAGCTCAACTGTGAGTTGGTCCTGGCGCACCCCAAAAAAGTGTCAAGGGAAACCAGATTGGATTTTGGCGTCACTCCTATCAAATCCCATTGAGAGCATAGGTCATTGACAGAAAAACTTGAATTGTTGCATCTTGTTGTGTTGTTGTCCTCCGATGGCTAGCTAGCTAGCTAAAATTGCCCTTTCCTAAATTAGCCATGGATGGAGATAGGGATTTGGACTTGTGGGGTTACTTAATTCTCTGTGCTGGCCAATGACTATAACAGCGATTCTGATCCAACCATTAATTCACACATTGTTGAGCCCCTGGCCTGAGAGGATGGAAGTTCAATATGTACAGTGCATTTGGAAAGTATTCAGACCCCTTGACTTTTTCCATATTTTGTTACATTACAGCCTTATTCTAAAATTGGATTTTTTTTTTTTATCTTCATCAACCTACACAATATACCCCATAATGACAAAGCACATTTTTTTTTCTTCACATTTACATAAGTATTCAGACCCTTTACTCAATACTTTGTTGAAGCACCTTTTGCAGCGATTACAGCCTCGAGTGTTCTTGGGTATGACGGTACAAGCTTGGCACACCTGTATTTGGGGAGTTTCTCCCGTTCTTCTCTGCAGATCCTCTCAAGCGCTGTCAGGTTGGATGGGGAGCGTCGCTAAACAGCTATTTTCAGGATCTCTCTGTACTTTGCTCTGTTCATCTTTCCCTCGACCCTGACTAGTCTGCCAGTCCCTCAGTCAAGACCTCAGAAAAGAAATGGTAGACCTCCACAAGTCTGGTTCATCCTTGGGAGCAATTTCCAAACACCTGAAGGTACCACGTTCATCTGTACAAACAATAGTACCCAAGTATAAACACCATGGGACCACGCAGCCGTCATAACGCTCAGGAAGGAGACGCATTCTGTCTCCTAGAGATGAACGTACTTTGGTGCGAAAAGTGCAAATCAATCCCAGAACAACAGCAAAGGACCTTGTGAAGATGCTGGAGGAAACAGGTACAAAAGTATCTATATCCACAGTAAAACGAGTCCTATATCGACATAACCTGAAAGGCCGCTCAGCAAGGAAGAAGCCACTGCTCCAAAACCGCCATAAAAAAGCCAGACTACGGTTTGCAACTGCACATGGGGACAAAGATCATACTTTTTGGAGAAGTGTCCTCTGGTCTGATGAAACAAAAATAGAACTTTTTGGCCATAATGACCATCGTTATGTTTGGAGGAAAAAGGGGGATGCTTGCAACCCGAAGAACACCATCCCAACTGTGAAGCACGGGGTTGGCAGCATCATGCTGTGGGGGTACTTTGCTGCAGGAGGGACTGGTGCACTTCACAAAATAGATGGCATCATGAGTGTCACGATCGTCTAATGAGGGAGACCAAGGCGCAGCGTTGCGGGTGAACATATTTATATTTATTGACTAGATCACACGATCAAAACAAAGAACGAAACGTGAAGTCCTTCGATACACAAACCAAAAGGAACAAGAAACCACAAAACACCAAGTGCAAGACAAACAGTTAAATATGGCTCCCAATCAGAGACACCCAGCTGACACTCGTTGCCTCTGATTGGGAGTCACTCAGACCAACATAGAAAATTAAACATAGACTTACACACCCTGGCTCAACATAACATAGTCCCCAGAGCCAGGGCGTGACAATGGGGAAGGAAAATTATGTGGATATATTGAAGCAACATCTCAAGACATCAGTCAGGAAGTTAAAGCTTGGTCGCAAATGGGTCTTCCAAATGAACAATGACCCCAAGCATACTTCCAAAGTTGTGGCAAAATGGCTTAAGGACAACAAAGTCAAGATATTGGAGTGGCCATCACAAAGCCCTGACCTCAATCCTATACAACATTTGTGGGCAGAACTGAAAAAGTGTGTGCGAGCAAGGAGGCCTACAAACCTGACTCAGTTACACCAGCTCTGTCAGGAGGAATGGGCCAAAATTCACCCAACTTATTGTGGGAAGCTTGTGGAAGGCTACCCGAAACGTTTGACCCAAGTTAAACAATTTAAAGGCAATGCTACCAAATACTAATTGAGTGTATGTAAACTTCTGACCCACTGGGAATGTGATGAAAGAAATAAAAACTGAAATAAATAATTATCTCTACTTTTATTCTGACATTTCACATTCTTAAAATAAAGTGGTGATCCTAACTGACCTAGGACAGGGAATTTTTACTACGATGAAATGTCAGGAATTGTGAAAAACTTTGTTTTCAGTTTTTTATTGTTAATACATTTGCCAAAAACATCTAAAAACCTGTTTTCGCTTTGTCATTATGGGGTATTGTGTGTAGATTGATGAGGATTTTTAAAAAAGAAATCCATTTAAAATAAGAATGTAACTTAACAAAATTTGGGAAAAGGGAAGGGGTCTAAATACATTCTGAATGCACTGTAGCCATCACGATCGTCGGATATAGAGGACCAAGGCGCAGCGTGGAAGGTGAACATACTTATTTATTAAATGATACACGAACAAAACAACAACTCGATATGTGACGTCCACAGGTGCAAAACACAAACCAACACGGAACAAGATCCCACAAACACTGTGGGAAAACCACCTGACTAAATATGGTTCCCAATCAGAGACAACCAGCAACAGCTGATACTCGTTGCCTCTGATTGAGAACCACTCTGGCCAACATAGATATACAAAAACTAGACTAGACACAACAAGCACAAAACAAACTCTACACACCCTGGCTCAACTTAAAAGAGTCCCTAGAGCCAGGGCGTGACAGTACCCCCCCTAAAGGCACGGACTGCGACCGCGCCTAAACATCACTGAACAGGGGAGGGCTGGGTGGGCATTCCTCCTCAGAGGCGGTTCCGGCTCCGGGCTTGACCACCACCCTCTACTAACCCCCCCCCGTAGTGCCCCTGGTCTGGTCTAGCCCCACTGGCTGGAGCTGGACTGGACTTCGGTGGAGCGGATTGCTCAGGCTCCGGTGTGGAGCAGCTGACCAGTACCTGACCAGGCACCGGTGAAACGGGCACGGGCTGGCGATGCGCACCACAGGTTTGGTGCGGGGAGCAGGAACAGGCCAGACCAGGCTGGCGACGCGCACCATTGGCTTGGTGCGGGGAGCAGGAACAGGCCGGGCCGGGCTGGCAACGCGCACCACTAGCTTGATGCGGGGAGCAGGAACAGGCTGGACCGGGCTGGCGATGCGCACCACAGGTTTGGTGCGGGGAGCAGGAACGGGCCGGGCCGGGCTGACGACGCGCACCACTAGCTTGGTGCGGGGAGCAGGAACAGGCTGG